GCAGAGCTGCTCTGCCTCGGGCTTCCTGTAGGCAGCTGCTGGTCAGTTTCAACAGAGGCTGAATCTGGATGCCAGTTCCGACTTACATACAAATTCAACTTAAGAACAAACCATGGTACAAATTCAACTTAAGAACAAACCTACAGTCCCTATCTTGTACGTAACCCAGGGACTGCCTGTAACGAGGTTCAGTACTGACTCAGGAGCTGCTCTGCCTCGGGCTTCCTGTAGGCAGCTGCTGGTCAGTTTCAACAGAGGCTGAATCTGGATGCCAGTTCCGACTTACATACAAATTCAACTTAAGAACAAACCATGGTACAAATTCAACTTAAGAACAAACCTACAGTCCCTATCTTGTACGTAACCCAGGGACTGCCTGTAACGAGGTTCAGTACTGACTCAGGATGAAATGTCATCCATTGACTCACCAACACTATTAGTAGTGGTAGGCAGTTTCTTTCCTGGGAGGACTCCCACTCATGTATTTACTAGAAGATCCTATTTAATATGTCCCAGCTGAGAAGCTCAGAGTACAAAGTGGTGAGGATGTGGAATAAAAATGGCATTATGCAAATATCAACGTGAATGTTCCCCTTACCCTAATCAGTGGAAATCACAAATTTCCAATTAGCATGAAATTTAATTTGCACTAATCAGCCCCAGACAAGCACAAAATTAGTATTATGTTTAACTAATTAAACTGAGAACCTTATGTAAAGCATATAATAAATATAGGACATGGTAGTTAGCATGCATACTAATTGCCCATGGCAAAATGTACTGCAAAGCAGCACTTTCTCATTGCACTATTAGTATTTTGCCACAAGAGGGCAATCCCCTGCTTTTATCAGAGTGCAGAGTGACAAGTCTCAGGGGGTAGCCGTGTTAGTTTGAATCTGCAAAAACAGAAAATAGATTTATTTGAGCATAAGCTTTCATGGGTAAACCCACTTCATCAGATGCACTGGAGTGGAAATTACACACACACACACACACACACACACACACACGCTACGTCTAGACTACATCCCTTTTTCGGAAAAGGGATGTAAATTAGACGTATCACAATTGCTAATGAAGCGGGGATTTAAATCTCCCGCGCTTCATTAGCATAAAAATGGCTGCCGCTTTTTTTCGGCACGGAGCTTTGTAGGAGAAAAGCGCCATTCTAGACGCTGATCTTTCGAAAAATAAAGCCTTTTCCGAAAGATTCCTTGTCCCTCTTGAAATAAGGGATAAGAGATCTTTCGGAAAAGGCTTTATTTTTCGAAAGATCAGCATCTAGACTGGCGCTTTTCTCCAACAAAGCTCCGTGCCAAAAAAAAGCGGCAGCCATTTTTATGCTAATTAAGCGCGGGAGATTTAAATCCCCGCTTCATTAGCAATTGCGATACGTCTAATTTACACCTCTTTTCCGAAAAAGGGATGTAGTCTAGACATAGCTACAGAGTAAATCAAAAGAAGGGAGTTATTTATCAAGTGTAACTAGGCCAGTACAGTTAGGATGGATGCAGCTCACTTCCAGCTGATGGAGACGTATGAATACCAGGAGAGGGAAAACTGCTTTTTTAGTCAAGTATCAGAGGGGTAGCTGTGTTAGTCTGAATCTGCAAAAGCAGCGAGGAATCCTGTGGCACCTTATAGACTAACTGAAGTGTAGGAGCATAACCTTTCGTGGGCAAAGACCCACTTTGTCAGATGCATGTACATCTCCTCACCGCTTTTGCTTCTGTAGTGAGATTGCAGGGCACCATTTGGGGCAGCACTCAAAAATGGCAAGATACAACATACTCTAAGATCTAAAGCCTCTACATTTAGGGTAAGTCTACACAGCAGTGTTATTTCAGAATAAATTGACATTCTTCCAAAATAACATAGTCACCGTTTACACTACAAGCAGTTATTTCGACATAATATCGAAATAATGGAGAGCTGGAGGACTTGTTACTCCGACTCCAATAACCCTCATTTTATGAGGATTTCCTGCTGTAAAGACAGAGCAAAAAGCTGAAATAAGCTATTTCGACTTAAGCTACACAACTGATGTAGCTGAAGTTGCATAGCTTATTTTGGCTTTACCCCTGCTGTGTAGACGTGCCCTTATTCATCCAACTATCTAAAATTAGGGCTGTGAAGCAATTAAAAAATTTAATTGTGTGATTAATTGCATGTGCCTCCCCTTTGAATAAGAGCACGTCTTCACATCTGGAGTCCCCAGCTGACCCCAGACTCCATGCAGCACTGCCCCTTGGAAGCGCTGCTTCCAAGCGCCATGTTGCAAAGCCCCTTTGAAGTGCTGCTCCGGCGCTTCAAAGGGGCTTTGCAACGCCCAGCTGATCCTTGGCTTCTAATGCATTGCTTCTCTAATGCGCCAAAACAGCACTTCAAAATGGCAGCGCAAACGGAACCAGGGATCAGCTGGAGTGCCCAGATGATCCCCGGATCTGCGTTGCAAAGCCCCTGGAAGTGCTGCTCTGGCACTTCAAAGGAGTTTGCAACAGCGGAGCCCCTTTGAGGCACTGGAGCGGCACTTCAAAGGGGCAGTGCAGCTTTAACGCCTGCGATTAACGTGTTAAAAAATTAACACGTTAATCCTGTGCTGCATTAATCGCAGGCGTTAATGCAGGTCAATTGACAGCCCTATCTAAAAGCAAAATGAGATTTAAGGCTACGTAAAATCCAAGGAAAATTGTGTTGTCAACACAGAGCAGAAACTGAGCAGACAAAAAAGCACCAACATTGTCATTAAAGGGAAAAGCTGCATGAGCCCTTACCTTGTGTAGGAGACTGTCTTTGCTGCTTTCGAATTATGAAAAGGATGGGCTCTTGAGCATGAAGGAGGATATATTCCACTCCAGTCATTTGACTAAAAGACAAGTGACCAGAATAAGTAAATATATTCATCTGAAAGATAAAGATATAGGATGTGAAAGCCCACCAAAACAACAATCACAGGGGCTGAAGGGTCGCAAGCTCTTGTACACTGAACATTAAACACATTAGGATTTTCAAAGATAAATAGAAAAACCTAGCCAGTGGCACTACAACAATTTTTAAGGGCAAGGATGCTAAGCTGTGACCCTTATACCCCTGTCTGTACCTCAAACCACCCAGGCTGGGCCACAGCTGGGGGCAGCTACGCAGCGGGAGAGAGGCTGGTAGTGGAGGCAGTGGCTGGAACCCAACGGTAGAGCCCCTGGGTGAGGAGCCAGTAATGGAGAAAATGGGTGCCAAATCTGGGGCTCCTATAGCACCCCCACACCTCTATTTCTCATGCCTATGAATCTGGCTTTGTGCTCATGGTGCATTAAGAAATCTCAGAATCAACCTTTTGGCAAACAGGTAGGCACAAGAAATAAATGGCAGAAAAAATGGAACATATAGCTACAGATATTATTTACATATGTAAGTGAGAGACCAACCCCACTGAACAGAATGTATGCAGGCAGTGTGAAAGCTCGTCCTTCCCCTCTCTCCCCCCAACACCAGATGCACACAGCTTTAACCCATCTACATTGTCGCCAGGCTGCTACCCAATTCCTAAGTCCCCAAGTTGTTCCATCAATGCACCTTACTCCTGCTAAAACCCCACATCCAAGAAAGCCCATTGCATGCTGTGATACTAATAAATGGCCACTTCACTTGTAATAAGAACTACCTATCCATTCATTTCTCCTGGGACCCAAATTAAAAATCATACTTCCCATGCTCAATCTTCCCACAGTGGACTATTTGAATCACGACACCTCATTCATTTTGGCAGGAACCACAAGTGAAGTAATAATATATACACTCTTATTTACAATTCTGTGGCAAAGCAAAAAGTGTCCAACTACAGTAGATCCCATTCAAGAAACATTAAATTAATCTTCATCTCATTACAAAATTAATCTGAGCCACTGCCTGCAGACATTTTCATTGTTTTTATCCTGGTCTGTAGCTGCTCTGGAGGGAGGTGCTTTCTAGCTAATTAGCTTTTTTAACATTTCTGTAAAGCTGCAATCTCAGGTGTACTCAAAATCCTATCTGCAGTACTTCACAGGAAGCATCACAGGAAGCAGGAGACTATAAATCGCTTCTGGTATCTGAAAAAGGACAGGATTCATCTGCAAGTGGCTGAGCAAATCAACCTTAAAAGAAGAAAAGAGACAGGGAACAGAGAAGTAGGATCGTAGCTTTCCCTATACTCTTCAATTCAACTGGTGTAACAACCTTTAGAGGAAAAGACGAAGAACTCCAGCCTAGTCAGAAATTTTTCAGGTTAACTCAGCATTCCTTATAGTAACTCACTGCAAGTGCTCCAAGGTCAGTCGTTGCATTTTGACTACTTCATTGTTACATGTTCGGTCATAGAACGGGTTACTTCGCTCTGAGAAGTAGTCTAATACACTTCCGTTGTTTAATATAGGAATCCAGGAACTGTCAACCCAGGAAATTCCCAGGAGGTTATCTGGGAAGAAAAACCTAAAATTAGCACCAAAACAATTAGTACAATTATAAATTCTTACTAATTAAAGACCTACCAATTAGAGCACTTAAAAACACCCAAATTTCCCTAAAATTCAAAATTGACACAAAATATCAAATTTTCCTCCTCAGAGGGAAACAAGACATATTATTTAGGAATAATTCTGTACACATATTATTGATACATTGTCTTGGCTATTACATAAAGGTATGGCAGTAATACAGACACCTTTATTTCTCAGGCATGCCAGCACAGAAAAATAATTAACACTAGCAGTCATACTGTACATAGTTTAGATTAAGAAAAGCAACATTTGCCAAGTAGAACGGGCAAACTAAGTACGACCTTCACCTTGAAAGTGAAAGAAAACCTAGTAAGTAAGGGAAAGCCAGCATTAAATGCCAGACCAAATAAACCTGTGGAGAAGGGAAATGCAGGACAATGTAGCACTTTAAAGACTAACAAGATGGTTTATTTCATACTGTACATAGTTTAGATTAAGAAAAGCAACATTTGCCAAGTAGAACGGGCAAACTAAGTACGACCTTCACCTTGAAAGTGAAAGAAAACCTAGTAAGTAAGGGAAAGCCAGCATTAAATGCCAGACCAAATAAACCTGTGGAGAAGGGAAATGCAGGACAATGTAGCACTTTAAAGACTAACAAGATGGTTTATTAGATTATGAGCTTTCGTGGGCCAGACCCACTTCCTCAGATCAAATAGTGGAAGAAAATAGTCACAACCATATATACCAAAGGATACAATTAAAAAAATGAACACATATGAAAAGGACAAATCAACTTTCGTTCTGTTACATAGTAACATAGTAACAGAACTATGTTACTAGTAACCTAGTAACATAGGGTATGTCTACACTACAATGTTAGTTCAAACTAACAGACGTTAGTTCGAACTAACATTCATAGCCGCTACATGAGATAGTTCAAATGTTTGTTGAGTCCTTTTTGGAAAGTGTCGAATTTTAACATGAATGACAGTTCAGAGGATTCCCTTTCAAGTGCAGATGTAAAAGGTCTTTGTAGCAGAATGCAGGTGGTTAAGTCATTGAGAGAGTGTCCTTTCTGGTTAAAATGGCAAGAAACTGTATTTTCTTTGTGATCTTGTGTGGAGAAGGGAGATACTGAAACCAAGTGGTAAGTGTGCTAACATTTACTAGACTCTCCTCTCATGGCTACATGAAATTTAAAAGGTCTAGAAATTCAATAATTTTAAGCCATAGTGGCAATAATAGCCAAATGCTTGAAGAATAGGAAATACAATGATAAAGCATCAGGTTTTACTCTGAAAAAAGAAAGATGGCATGGGTGAAAAAATGACTGAAACTGCACACAGGACTGAAGTTTCAGTCACTTTTCCACCCAGTCTATGAATGTAATGGCCCTGCTCCTGCATTTTTTCCAAACCCTAAGCTCCTACTACAGTTATATTGTAGAGCATGTACTTCTGTTGACATTTTCAATGTACAAAGAATGCAAGATTCAAACCCAAAATGTGATTGAATATATTATGAATCTTTTATTAAGTGAATCTAGGAGCTCAGCAAACCATGATTAATACAACATAAATGAATAATGCATTTTTGCATTGTCAGTCTCAGAGCTGCCAGCATATTTTTACATAACATGGAAAAAATGAGGTTTTCATTTTATTTCACATACACTGTTTCCCCTCATCATAAAATGAGGAGATGCTCCAGTATTAAAGGCATTTTATTTTTTAATATTTATATTGCAGTAATACCCATTAAACACTTTCTAACTATATATCACAAATTATTTATCTCAATGAAAAAAAGGACCCAAACCTCTTGTTCATATTCTTGGCAGGACATGTGCTCATTTAGTATTTCAACTAGCATGAAAAAAAAATCTCGTGTGTGTCACAAGAACAAGTGTGTTTCTACAGAAGTTTCTCCCAGGTGGGGCTGGAACTTCACAGTAAATATGCCATAAAATTGAATGTAAAGTTCCAACTAGAGGACCAGGGATGTTAAGTAGCATTTAATTAGCTAATCAAGTAGTCAATGGAATTTCCATCTGATTAATCTATAGGGATGGATGCTCGCTACCCCTACTGCGGCTTTGCAGTTTAAATGTAGCATCCCAGCTCCTACTACATTGAAACTGCGGAGCCATAGTGTGGTTAGCTCCTGGATACTGCGCAAGCTAGGACTGAGCAGTTACAGCTCACCCCAACTCCAGGACCACTGTGCCTTTGCCTTTTAAATGTAGTTAGAGCTGCCTGGTTCTTATTACATTTAAAAGGCAGGTCTGCAGCAGGGGACCTAGCACGAGCTGGGACTGCTTCAGTCCCGGCTCACGCCAGGTCCTCAACTGCTGCGCCTCTGCTTTTTAAATGAAGCAAGAGCTGCCTCACTCTTAGTAGATTTAAAAGGCAGAGGCACAGCAGTCCCAGAACCAGCACGAGTCAGGACTGCTCAATCCCTGACTCCTCCGCCTCTCCCCCTGTGGAGATGGTGCTAAGGGGAACCAAAGCCAGCTTCTCCAACACTGGCTCCTGCTCCCTGCCTTGCTGCCTCTGATACAAAGGTGGGAGGGGGAGGGGGGAAAGACAGACATGTAGTTGAGTAGTGACTTGACTACCCAATAAACCTAAGCTTATTGGGTAACCAACTACTGACTAGTCGCTTACATCCCTATACAGGACTAGACTATTATTGGCTACTACTTCCAAGTAGTGCATTTATTATTGCTTTTATAATACACAAGAGACAGTCCTCTAGGAAAAAGCACAACCCTGATACTATATATCAATTGCTCCTCTTCAGAAGGCACAAGCTGTATTTTTGTTGTGAAAAAAATGTACTATTATTCCCAGTTCTTTCAAAAAAGGCATCTTATTCAATGCATTTAAATGAAGTTTAAATAATATCCTCATCTCAGCCACCAAATGTCTACCTTCAGAGCTGAATGTGAGACAGAGAATCAAAATTAAGGGACACAGAAGTCCATGGCAGTATGGTAAGCTTTAAAAAAAAAAAAAAAAAAAAAAAAGGTATCTTAATCTTCCTTCCTTAACTCTGCTGCCACCTCTTTTTCAACACCACCAGTGCTTTTCGGTTGCATCTACACAGCACCCTACAGTCAAAATAAGATACGCAATTTGCACTACGCAAAATTGCGTATTTTATTTTGATTCTATTTTAAAATAGCTTATTTTTAAATTTGGTGCATCTACACAGCACCAAATTTCAAAATAACGCCCTATTTTGAGACATCCCTTAACCCTCATGGAACAAAGTTACAAGGATGCCAAAAAAGCACACCCATTTTATTTCGATAAATATTTCGAAATAATGGGCGGCTTGTTAAGACATGGGGTAGCTATTTCGGGATACCTTTGGTATCCCGAAATAGCTGTGCAGTGTAGGCGTACTCTTAGTGACCAGCTCTATAGCCTGTGGCTTGTTTTCAACTCCACCTTCCTTCCAGACATCATCTAAATCATGCCACTTCTTCCTCCATACAGTAACAAGATACATCCTTTTCTCTCTGTCCACAGAATTAACATGCTCATCCTGGCTCCTTTCGCTCTCTTTCAATAACTCCTCTCTGGTTTTCCTGATACTTATGTTGCTTCACACACATGCAGCCAAACTACTATTAAGATCATCTGCCCAGCCCATCGTTTTGGCCTTGTCACCCTGTTCAGTCATTCCATTGGCTCCCATTTTTCTAAGTCTTCAAATGCACATTTCTAATCTTGACACTCAAGGTCCTTCACAACCTAGCTTCTCCTTTTTAAACATTATGCTATTTTACCTTGCCATGCCATAACCTCACAATTACAGACCAGTAAGTCCAAGGTCCGTACCGGGTAAATTAGTGAGAACTACAGTAAAGTACAGAATTGTCAGACATACAGATGAACATAATTTGTTGGGAGAAAAAAGTCAACATGATTTCTGTAAAATCATGCATTACTAATCTACTAGCATTCTTTGACAGGCTCAACAAGCATGTAGACAAAGGAAGGTCCAGTAGATATAGTGTACTTAGATTTTCAGAAAGCCTTTGACAAGGTCCCTCACCGTGGCTCTTAAGTAAAGTAAATTGTCATGGTATAAGAGGAAGGTCTCATGGACCGATAACTTGTTGAAAGTCAGGAAACAAAGGGTAGGAATAAATAGTCAGTTTTCAGAATGGAGAGAGGTAACAAATGGTGTCCCCCAAGCGTCTGTACTGGGACCAATCCTATTCAACATATTCATAAATGATGTGGAGAAAGGGGTAAACAGTGAGGTGTCAAAATTTGTAGATGTTAATAACTGGTCAAGATAGTTAAAGCCAAAACAGACCGTGAAGAGCTTCAAAAGAATCTCACAAAACAGGGTGACTGGGCAACAACACAGCAAATGAATTTTAATGATGATAAATGCAAAGTAATGCATATTGGAAAACATAATCCCAAATTATGTAAAAAATGATGGGGATTAAATTACCACTAGACTAGAGAAAGATCTTAGGAGTCACTGTGGATAGCTCTCTGAAAACATCCACTCAATGTTCAGCAGAAGTCAAAAAAGCAAATAGTATGTTAGGAATCATAAAAAAAGGGATAGAGAATAAGACAGAAAATATCTTATTGCCTCTGTATAAATCCATGGTATGCCCATATCTTGAATACTGCATACAGAAGTGGTCACCTCATCTCAAAAAAGACACCATAGCATTGGAAAAAGTTCAGAAAAGGGCAACAAAAATAATTAGAGGTTGGAATGGCTTCCATATGAAGAAAGATTAAAAAAACTTGGACTTTTCATCTTAGAAAAGAGAAGTCTATGAGAGGTCTATAAAATCATGACTGGTGTAGAGAAAGTGAATAAGGAAAAGCTATTTACAGGTTCCCTTAACATCAGAAAAAGGGATCACCAAATGAAATTAATAGGTAGCAGCTTTAAAACAAACAAAAGGATGTTTTTCTTCACTTAAGGCACAGTC